ACCAACATTGATCAGTTGGTCTCGTTTTGCATGTGGCACATTGATTTCAGCGAAGAGCACCTCAGGACGTACTAATGCCGTGGTAATTGACGATGGGAGTTGAATTAATCTTGCGCCCAAGTGACTTTGGATGTAGAGTGCAACACCACCGCCATGCCGATTACGGTCATTGCGAAAGACGGAGTACTGTGGAATGTGGATGGCTGCGTCAGTGATGGAGTCATCTAGCCATGTCTCATTGACGGATAGAACGTGTATTTTATGGTCATGTAATATTTTGTGAACATCATGCACTTTGTTTCGTATACTAGAAATGTTGATATGAGCAATATTCAATTCGGAATCTTGTATAGGACTAGGACATATGACATCAACAGAAGGGTTCCCACGTGCATCCTATTGCAGAATGCGAGCAATTTCATCCGTGCTCATAGGACGGCCTTTACTCAGGATCACGTCCCGAGGTAGGGTGCAGGGGAAATTATTCTCTCGGAGGGCCTTACACTTTGGAATCAACTCACGACGTCTGGCCTGCTCTTGTGGTGTCAGATCGTGGTTGACAAAAACATCACGTGCGCCATATTTAGCAGCACGTTTCCATTCATTAACACTCGCTTTCCCTTCTCTGTGAGCTTGACTTTTACCAGTCTTGGGCCAGCACGGGCGTTCCCAGTTGCCGCACCCCGCTTCTTTGGTGTAATGCGCTTTGCGCTGAGGACATCACCAGCATCGAGACCTGGAACAAGGCCCTGTACAATGGACTGAACTTGCTGTGTTTTTTTATTTTTTGTCTACAAAATCCACATATCTCCAGACACTGGGGTGAATGATGGAGTGTGGTGGTGGGGCCCATTAAGCTCCGCCGACCAGAGGTCTCGGCTTCATAGCTCCATGGACGCACCAAAGGGATATTGGGTGGGGAGGATTAAATTGAAAAAGAAAACAGAAGAAAGAAAATGGAAAGATTGTATTGCTCAGTGAGCAAAAGAATAAGTTGAGTATTGATCTGAACGCTGTTAGACTTTTAAATTCAAGAGGAGACTGCCCGTGAGGAGAGATTACATGTATGTCCAAGCAGGGTAGGACACTGTACCCTCTTACTCGCGTATGCTATGAGTGGCCCAGTGCCAGTTCGTTCTGAGGAGATGGTGATAAGCTGCTGTCTTGAACTTTTGGATGTTCTTTGGGTGAAATGGGTGGGGAATGATAGAGGTAGGCAGCTGGTTCCAAATTGGGATGACGGAGTGGGGAAAGGCTCGGCTCACATTGTTCCGGGAATTGGCAGGAAGAACATTCTGTAACTGATGGGGATGCGCGGTGGACAGTCGTACAGCCTGGCGGGTGAGGCGTGTGGTCCTGGGTTGGTGTGTCGGGGGTGGAGCCATTCTCGAGAGAAGAGCGGAAGAATTATCGCAAAGGGCTTTATACAGGAGGCAGAGGGCAGCGATGGTGCGGCGAATTATGAGGCTAGGAAGCCAGCATTGCGGATGTATTGCCTTGATGGCTCGCTCCTGCACCCAGTCCAGCCGATTCAAGTGGGAAGGAGCTGCCCCCATCCAGACGATTGGGCAGTACTCCATAACCGGCCGGACAAAGGCTTTGTAGGCTCGAAGCCGGGCAGGAATAGTCAGCAAGTGAAATGCCTTGCGCAAGGCTCCAAGTCTCTGCGTTGCTCGGACTACGACAGTTCGGATATGTGTGCGCGAAGAGGTCGTTTCCTGAACCAATGTAGCGAGGTCAACCTTATTTGGCAAATTATCTACCACGTCACTGAGTTTGGCAGAGAGGCCGTCAACCTGGCGCCGAAGGTCGACAACAATGGCGGATTTCCCGCCATTGTCGACATCAGAATTGGCTTTATCACCTGCAGCCTTGCATTTGTTGACATCAGTCTGCAGCTTCTCACTCTGCTTTTGCAGTTGCAATATCTGTCTCTCTACGACTCTAGCTTCGTCATGCGGTTTTCGAGAGGAGCCAGGAGATCTGCAAGTGCAATTCTCATAACCCCCCGAAATTCCTCTCTGAACGAGTCGAGAAGCTGCAGCACACGCGACACAGGCAATGAGCTGTCGTCAATGCTATCACTTACGTGACGCGGTGCTTCATGATGTGCAAACTTTCAGAGAAATCGACGGGGGAGAACGTGGTGATTCGATTTTGACAGCATGTTACCAGGCGAGGACTCATAGTGCTCCTGGCTACAACCATAACCCGGTTGGCAGAGTCCCAATCGGATCGGAGATTATTTTTTCGATCTCCACAAAAATAATTAACCCAACACACACGGTTTAGGCGATAGAGTCTACGGACTCGTACTCGTGACCTGGGCACCGCAAACCCAGCTCAACGGAGACCGCACACTCACCTCACCGCGCACCATATCCAAAACAAGCGGTATGGACAACGCCCCGGTCAAATACTGACCCCAGCAGCGGGGATGCAACGCACAATCGCGAAAGAAGCAAGTCCGCAAGTACGACTCGCATTTGTCGAAACGACGAGCGCGAGGACGACAAACACTCCGGAGTACCACGCGCGCCATCATCACCGCACGCAGATCTACGCGCGATCCCCGCGCGCGACCTACGACACCACGCAAGATCGACGTCTCCAGAGCACAACTCGCAACGACAGCAAGAAGCCTTCACGTCGTGTCCGGCTACACTCCACATATCTTCCTCAGCCTACGTTCACCTTCCCATGTCGACGACCATCTTACCAGCTCCTCGGACAACCTGGAGAGATCTCACGATGTCCAAAGTCAACACGCGTCTCTTTTAGAGACCCACCAATGAGACTTCTTTCCTCCTTCGATACACCAATAACCGCTGTCTGTGTGTTTTATAGCTCCGTTCACCTGACAGAAGACTCAGTTCACGCCACGAGGAACGTGATACAACACTAACCCATTCATCAATAATTAATAATAGTAAACAATTTCTCGTTTCAACAAAGGATTAATACCGGAGAGCCCACCCCCCTGGGGGAGGCACAATTAATTAACTACGGGTGAGCCCAAGACGGTCCAGCGCAACAGCCGAGGTAAGCAATGCTGACTCCGACATTTGACCCCTAACACCGGCGTACCTCACCTGAAAAACATCCTGGGCGCTGCACTGAACTTATGTCCCATGTTACCAATTGCAACATTCCACAAATCGTTCACAATTGAAGAAAAAAGTACCCTGAAGCTGATTAACGAAATATGACTCTGTTTTATATGTGGAATCAACAACGAGAGCAACAACAACCCTCTCCACTGCGAGAGACGACGATAAAAACGTCAATGCCTGCTTTTTTGATCTAAGCAAGGCCTTCGATCGTGTGTGGCATGCAGGCCTTCTAGCAAAACTCTCCCACTATGGTGTCCAGGGCAACGCCCTGGAGTGGTTCCGATGGTACCTGTTGGGGCGTCGGCAGAGGGTCCAGGTGGATGGCGACCTATCGCCTTTCCTCGAGATCCCTGCCGGCGTCCCTCAGGGATCTGTTCTTGGGCCGCTTCTATTCCTCGGCTACACCATAGACCTTCCACACGCATGTGAGAATCCCGGCACCAGCTGTAGCCAATTTGCAGATGACACCGCTCTGATTTCCATAGCGAGAACTCTTCAACATTGCACCCGAAACCTACAACAGAGTGTCACAGCAGCTGGAGACTGGCTTCAAAGATGGCACCTGCTGGTTAACACAAAGAAAACAGTCATCCTCCCGTTCTACCACAATAACCGCCCACCTGAACAGCTACCCCAGATCACCCTCAGGAATAGTTCGCTTACCGTAGCACAAAAACACAAACACCTCGGAATAATCTTTCAGCATGACCTCCGTTGGACGGAGCATGTTGAATACATAGTTAAAAAATCTTTCAATATTCTTTTTAGACTAAGGTCTACACTCACCAGTGATTCTTTATCTCACATCTGTCAGACATACATACTACCTATTATCTCATATGCGAGCAATGCTCTCACACCGTTGTCACACACTTCCCTTGACAGGCTAGAACGACTCCAGCGGAAAGCCGCCAGAATATGTCTCCACCTTCCCCTTTACACACACTTAGAACACTCCCACCTTTTGCATCGCATCAAATGGCCAACATTATTTTCACGCTTTAAAGTTAAACACATACTCTTCGCGCATTCTCTGCGCCATAATTATGCCCACCACATATACTCTCGCTGCATACTGCTAGCAACGTGCAACCTTCATATAATTTCCCTGCTCTCGTACTTGGCACTTGCCAACTCCGCGGACTGACCGCTGTCTCCATTCTCCCTTGTACAAGGCCCTTCACTACTTTAATTGTTTGCCCGCCCAGCTTCGCGAAATCCCTTCTCGTACTCCCTTCAAATCCGAGACATCCCTGCTGTTGCACAACTCTGTATGCTCGTGTAGCGACCACCCCTGCCCGTACACTTAAGTACACAACTCTGTATGCTCGTGTGGCGACCACCCCTGCCCGTACACTTAAGTAGTCATTAACCTCTAGGCCCTGCCCACCCAATTCTTCCTCACTCTTTCTCCTTTCTTACACTATTATCTCTTATTGGCCACTGGCTATCGTGAGAATAAAGATTTGAAACAAAAACAACAATGTGGTGTACCCGTGTACATCGTACATATTTGCACTCTCATGTTTCTTATTATGCTACTGCATCTCCTTGCATGGACGTGCGTACAACCTTACAGCATACTACTCATACTATGCATGCATGTGTGTACTCCGTGCCCATAATCGACAGTGCATGTCTCTTGTTGCTGGTCAGGCTTTCCTGGGTAGTTTCCTGACGAGTCGTCCTCTCCCAGTCCTTCGTTGCATTATTCTATTTCAATAACTAATCATCACATAGACTTGATGATACCACATGGCGCAGTGAACTTGTTTTAGTAGCAGTTTCCATTAGTCTTTCTCAGTCCTGGGTCTTGCTAGTACTTGTACCTCTGGCGTTTCGTCTCTCAAATATAGTGAAATAATTATTTGAAATTTCCGTTTCGGCATGGCGGAATCAGACACACCAGTACTCAGCCCTGACATTGCTGCCCTCACCCAGCTCATGAGACAGCAGATGGAGACCGCCGCCACCCGCGAGCACCACCTGACACAGCTCGTGGAGCGAACTTTGAGGAGCATTTCTCAACCTCCACCACCGCAACGTCCACCCCCAGCCCCACCGGCACGAGATCATGTACCTGCGGCGAGACCAGTTTCGGTCGATCGCCCTATGTTACTTGCCTCTGCCTCTCTCGCAGAGTTTGCCGCATGGGAAGGTCTTTGGCGGGACTACGCCCGGTGCCAGCACCTGGATTCCCAGGACAATGCCACCAGAGTGGCAACGGTTCGTCAGTGCCTGGACGAGGACCTCCGGAGATTTCTTCGTGAGGGCACAATTCCTCTGGCTGACAACCACGACGACGACGATCTCATCAAGGCTGTACAGGCATACATTCGCGGCCAGCGTAACCCTCTGCTGGACCGGATCGCCTTCTATGCCCGCCAACAGCAGCATGGAGAGTCCTTCGATCAGTACCTGACTACCCTCAGGGAGATCCACAATTGCTGCGATTTCAGCGAAGCTGCACTCTGCAATTTCTGTTCAAGCCGAGTATGCCGCCAATGCCAGCAGGGACAGCGTACCAGGTACGACGAGACCATGCGTGATCGCCTGGTTACTGGCATTCTCGACACGGAGGCACGCCATAAGCTCCTTGCCACTACCGATCTAACGTTGGAGAAGGTCATTAAATTGTGTCGAGCGGAGGAGGCAGCCTCTCGGACGAGCAGCAGTATCCCCGGCACTAGCTCCGTCAATGCCGCTCGGAAAACAAATTATCAGCGGTCAAAACACGGCAATAACCCGCGACAGCAACAGGCGTCCGCCACGCCATCGCAATGTCCGAATTGTGGTCGCACTCCCCATGCCAGCAAGTCGCAGTGTCCTGCACATGGCAAAAAGTGTAGTGGCTGCAAGATTATTGGACATTTCCAAGCGGTGTGCAGAAAATCCCGCAAACCGGCTGACCAGTCCTCGCAGCGCACGCTGGGACGACTACAGCTCCGCCGCGCTCAGTGCGATGCATCTCCTACGGTGCCAGTCGACACGCAATTGTGCACTGAACCTGACGCTACCTCCCTGGAATGGATCCCCGATACGGGAAGTGACATTGACGCTATTGGCGTCGATCAGTTAGCGCATCTCGGTGGTTTTGTGGAGAATCTGGCCACAGACCATGATAATGTGCATGCTGCCAATGGTGAACGTCTCGTTTCAGCTGGCAAGATCTCCGCCACTCTCACCATCGGCTCGCTCAAGCATGATAGCACCATCCATGTGTACCGTGGACTGCGTGAACCCCTGTTGTCACGCCAATCGCTATACGCCTTAGGCCTCTTACCAGACGGCTGGCCCAAGCAAGTTGCGCGTGTTTGTACCAGCAGCACACCACCTCCAACGGCTCCCGTTGTGACGACCGGTCTCGTGAACACACCCGACCCTAGCAAGCTGGCGCAGATCCGTGCTGACCTACTGCGAGAGTTCGCAGACGTCTTCGACGACACGACATTGAAACCCATGTGTGGCAAGCCAATGGACATCATTCTCGAAGATGATGCGAAACCTCACCGAGTCTACACAGCTCGTCCTATCGCACATGCCTACCGTGAGCAGGTGAAAACCCAGCTCGACAATATGGTTGAGGAAGGCATCATCGAGACAGTGTCAGAGCCGTGCGACTGGTGCCACCCCATTGTTGTAGTCGACAAGAAGAATTCTAGTGAGAAACGTCTGACTGTGGACCTTCAGTCTCTCAACCGACAAGTGAAGCGTCCCACCCACCCCATGCAGAACGCACGTGATGTTCTCTCTGGCATCGGCACAGCCCGATGGTTCACCAAGTTTGACGCCCGTCATGGCTATTGGCAGGTGCCCCTGTCTGAGTCTGCCAAGTCTCTCACTACGTTCATCACGCCGTGGGGTAGATACCGATTCTGCCGGAATCCACAAGGTCTTGTGTCCGCCGGCGATGAGTACAACCGCCGCACCGACGCAGCTTTCGACCGTTTGACCCATCTCATCAAGGTGGTGGACGACGGCCTCGTTCACGATGAGTCATTCTCGGACCATGTCGCTCACGTCCGTGCCGTCCTGACCCGTGCACGCGAACACGGAATTACTCTCAGTCAAAAGAAGTTTGTCTTCGCCGCTCCTGAAGTCGAATTCTGTGGGTTTCATGTGTCGTCCAACGGATACACCGTGCCAGCTGACAAGACATCGGCTCTTCAGCACTTCAACCTACCCACCAATCGTACCGACCTCCGTTCCTTCCTCGGTCTGGTGAATCAGTGTGGAGAATTCACCCCACGGATATCCGAGCTCGCAGCTCCGCTACGTCCGTTATTGAAGACCACGAATGAGTTCGTGTGGGATGATGTCCACACCGCGGCTTTCAACGCCACCAAGTCTGAACTGATATCGCCGCCGACTCTCTCGTACTACCGTCCTGGTGACGACCTTCGGCTAGAGACCGACGCCTCTGCCCTGAACGGACTTGGGTTCGTGTTATGGCAACGCCAAGATAACCAGTGGCGCATGCTGCAGTGTGGCAGCCGCTTTCTCACCGACGCAGAGACACGTTATGCCGTCATAGAACTGGAGTTACTTGCTGTGGTTTGGGCTGTCCACAAGTGCTCCCTCTTTCTGTCCGGCAGCCGATTCGATTTGTTCACTGACCACCGTTCATTGGTCCCGATTCTGAACAAGTACACCCTGGATCAGATAGAAAATCCACGTCTGCTACGCCTCGCACTGAAGCTCCGGTCGTGTCAACTCGTCGCGCACTGGCGCAAGGGCAAAGAGAATGCGTTTGCTGATGCACTGTCCCGTAACCCGGTCGACAAGCCGACCAGTGAGGAAGAATTCGGTGAAAGCTCAACGCTCTCAGCACCAGCCATCAGAGCATGTCTCCGCCAGGACGAGGATGGCCGAATTGCAGACCTCCGGCACTGCGAGCTCTTGGACGCTGCCCGTGCCGATGATGACTATCAGGCCCTTCTCCAAGCCGTTCGTGAAGGTTTCCCTGATGATCAGCGCGCCGTCCACTCAGCTGTGAAACCGTACTTCACTATCCGCGAGCATCTTTCAGTCGACGGTGATCTTGTCCTGAAAGGCCAACGTGTTGTGGTCCCGCGTACCCTCCGCCCACGTGTGCTCCAGGATCTTCATGCCTCCCACCAAGGCCTCAACCGCACACAGCGTCGAGCTCGACAAGTCGTATACTGGCCACACTTGTCTAATGACATCGCCCAAGTCGTTCGCAGTTGCGAACAGTGTCGCTTGCACGCTCCGTCTCAGTGTAAGGAACCGATGCGTGTCACCGCTGACCGCCGTCCCACCCTGCCATTCCAGTCAACGAGTGCCGACTTATTTTCCTGTCAAGGTTGGGAATACCTGGTTTACGTCGACCGTCACACTGGCTGGCCTTGCATTGCCAAGATCGGCCGCACTGCATCTTCTGCCGATGTGATCCGTGTGTTCCGTGGCTGGTTCGCCGACGTCGGTGTCCCCAGCATCCTCACCACTGATGGTGGTCCGCAATTTTCATCACGTCGCTTTGCTGAATTTTGCACCCGATGGCAAGTTCAGCACTCCACGTCTTCACCTCATTATCCTCAATCTAATGGCCATGCCGAAGCCGCCGTGAAAGCGATGAAATCACTTGTGCTGAAGACCACGTCCGACGGTAACTTGGACGTCGATGAGTTCAGACGCGCATTGTTAGAATGGCGCAACACCCCCCGAGAAAATGGTCAGAGCCCAGCCCAAGCACTGTTTGGTCGACCATTGTCCTCCTTCGTGACAGCTCATCATCTCAGCTTTGCTCCTGATTGGCAAGCAAAAGCCACCGATGTTGACAAGCGCTCTGCCGCTCAGTCTGCCACCCAAGAACAGCATTATGATGAGTCTGCCAGATCACTGTCCCCACTTCGCATTGGCATGCGGGTTGACATCCAAGATCCGCGCACCAAACTCTGGCGCACCACCGGCGTGGTCGTCGCCATTGGTCGCAACCGGGACTATATGGTGAAGTTACCCAGCGGCCGTGTTTACTGGCGCAACCGTCGCCTTCTCAAGCCTGCCCCTGCCGTAGCCCCTCCTGCTCCGCCTGCAGACACCTCCCCGGCTGAGCCCGCAGCACCGCAGCAGCCTTGTGTGCAGCAACCTCGTCGTAGCCAACGGTCTCGCCAGGCACCAGAGCGTTTGAACATTTCGTCCACAGCATCTAAGTCCTATGCTTGACTCTACCTACCTGTACCTCACACTCTTGCTACAAGTAGTTGGTATTGGTATCACGCTTCATTAGTGTTTACTTTCTTTTCTGTCACTTCTGTTTTCTCCTTCTCATTTATGTGAGATAAACAGCTCCGATTTTTCGCTTGTTTATCTCAGAAGGGGCGTGTGGTGTACCCGTGTACATCGTACATATTTGCACTCTCATGTTTCTTATTATGCTACTGCATCTCCTTGCATGGACGTGCGTACAACCTTACAGCATACTACTCATACTATGCATGCATGTGTGTACTCCGTGCCCATAATCGACAGTGCATGTCTCTTGTTGCTGGTCAGGCTTTCCTGGGTAGTTTCCTGACGAGTCGTCCTCTCCCAGTCCTTCGTTGCATTATTCTATTTCAATAACTAATCATCACATAGACTTGATGATACCACAAACAACAACAACATTAATCAACAACAACAACAACAACGCCAAGAACAGTGCGTGGCTCGCCACAGACAGAACAGATCGCCTTGGGGACGACATACAAACTCTGCTACACACATACGGCCTCACACAACATGTCAGATTCCCTACTTACATCCACCGACAAACACCTCTCTCATGTCTAGACCTTGTTATCTCCTCACTCCACACCAATGATATTCATATCCAATCACTTCCACCGTTTGGCGCATCCGATCACACTACTATCAGTGGCCACATCAATAATCAACTGCCCCCCATAATTAACAACTCCTCTCCACGATCCAGAAGCACCACATTCTGGTCATGGACAGACAGCACTATCCACCTCCTTCGAGAAGCCCTTTCACGCACAAATCTCAACCACCATCCAAACCAACACGACCCATGCCCAGTTGACACCTTCTGGCGATCCTGGCGCGACAATGTCATGAGCATCGCCCAAGAACACTGCCAAGTTACTCGCACTCACCCCCTTGGGACAGGAAGAACGTGCCAGCACGACCATGGATATCAAAGGGCCTTTTGAAAGAGATCAAGGATAAGCACAGAAAACACAGAATATACCTTCACTCACGCTCGCCTGACGACTGGAACACGTTCACTGCCCAAAGAAACCGTGTCACCACCCTCCTGCGTCGTGCTAAATCGGATTTCGTAAACAACTCAACAGCCTCCTCTACTTACCTACACCGCCTCATGAAGCACCTAACTACAGCTACAAAACAACGCATACCCGAACTCGTCAGCCAAGCAACTCCTGCAACGACACCAGCACAAAAAGCCGCTGCCCTCAACGAATTCTTCATTTCACAGAGCAAGCTGTCCGTGGCCAATGCGCATGAGCAAACTCCAGCCATCAACACCACCCCTGACATCCTCAGTCCCCTTCAAGAAATCTCGACGTCCCAAGCTGAGGTCGAAAAACTCCTCCGCGGAGTTGATACCAACAAAAGCCCCGGGTTTGACTCTATTCCAAAACCGCCTACTCAAAGAAGCGGCTAAGGAACTTGCACCGTCGTTATCGTCCCTCTTTAATCTATCGTTCCAAACCGGAGAAATCCCACAGGAGTGGAAAGATGCCACCATTACTCCAGTACCCAAGCCGCGTGACCCAACCCAACCAACAAATTATAGACCCATCTCTCTCTTGAGCACTACATCAAAAATCCAAGAAAAAATTGCACATCAACTCCTCTACAAGCACATCACACCCCACCTGCCCAACCAGCAGTCCGGATTCCGCGAGAAAGACGGCACTGAGCAGCAGCTCGCCCGTCTCGTCCATACCCTCTCCACTGCGAGAGACGACGGGAAACACGTCAATGCCTGCTTTTTCGATTTAAGCAAGGCCTTCGATCGTGTGTGGCATGCAGGCCTTCTAGCAAAACTCTCCCACTATGGTGTCCAGGGCAACGCCCTGGAGTGGTTCCGACGGTACCTGTTGTCGCGTCGGCAAAGGGTCCAGGTGGATGGCGACCTATCGCCTTTCCTCGAGATCCCTGCCGGCGTCCCTCAGGGATCTGTTCTTGGGCCGCTTCTATTCCTCGTCTACACCATAGACCTTCCACACGCATGTGAGAATCCCAGCACCACCTGTAGCCAGTTTGCAGATGACACCGCTCTGATTTCCATAGCGAGAACTCTTCAGGACTGCACCCGAAACCTACAACAGAGTGTCACAGCAGCTGGAGACTGGCTTCAAAAATGGCACCTGCTGGTTAACACAAAGAAAACAGTCATCCTTCCGTTCTACCACAATAACCGCCCCCCTGAACAGCTACCCCAGATCACCCTCAGGAATAGTCGGCTTACCGTAGCACAAAAACACAAACACCTCGGAATAATCTTTCAGCATGACCTCCGTTGGACGGAGCATGTTGAATACATAGTCAAAAAATCACTCAAGTCTTTCAATATTCTTTTTAGACTAACGTCTACACTCACCAGTGATTCTTTATCTCACATCTATCAGACATACATACTACCTATATTCTCATATGCGAGCAATGCTCTCACACCGTTGTCACACACTTCCCTTGACAGGCTAGAACGACTCCAGCGGAAAGCCGCCAGAATATGTCTCCACCTTCCCCTTTACACACACTTAGAACACTCCCACCTTTTGCATCGCATCAAATGGCCAACATTATTTTCACGCTTTAAAGTTAAACACATACTCTTCGCGCATTCTCTGCGCCATAATTATGCCCACCACATATACTCTCGCTGCATACTGCTAGCAACGTGCAACCTTCGTATAATTTACGTCGCTCTCGTACTTGGCACTTGCCAACTCCGCGGACTGACCGCTGTCTCCATTCTCCCCTGTACAAGGCCCTTCATTACTTTAATTGCCTGCCCACTCAGCTTCGCGAAATCCCTTCTCGTACTCCCTTCAAATCCGAGATATCCCTGCTGTTGCACAACTCTGTATGCTCGTGTAGCGACCACCCCTGCCCGTACACTTAAGTACGCAACTCTGTATGCTCGTGTGGCGACCACCCCTGCCCGTACACTTAAGTAGTCATTAACCCCAAGGCCCTGCCCACCCAATTCTTCCTCACTCTTTCTCCTTTCTTACACTATTATCTCTTATTGGCCACTGGCTATCGTGAGAATAAAGATTTGAAACAACAACAACAACAACAACAACAACAACAACAACAACAACAACAACAACAACAACAACAACAACAACAACAACAACAACAACAACAACAACAGCAACAGCAACAGCAACAGCAACAGCAACAGTAACAGCAACAGCAACAGCAACAGCAACAGCAACAGCAACAGCAACAGCAACAGCAACAGCAACAGCAACAGCAACAGCAACAGCAACAGCAACAGCAACAGCAACAGCAACAGCAACAGCAACAGCAACAGCAACAGCAACAGCAACAGCAACAGCAACAGCAACAGCAACAGCAACAGCAACAGCAACAGCAACAGCAACAGCAACAGCAACAGCGACAGCGACAGCGACAGCGACAGCGACAGCGACAGCGACAGCGACAGCGACAGCGACAGCGACAGCGACAGCGACAGCGACAGCGACAGCGACAGCGACAGCGACAGCGACAGCGACAGCGACAGCGACAGCGACAGCGACAGCGACAGCGACAGCGACAGCGACAGCGACAGCGACAGCGACAGCGACAGCGACAGCGACAGCGACAGCGACAGCGACAGCGACAGCGACAGCGACAGCGACAGCGACAGCGACAGCGACAGCGACAGCGACAGCGACAGCGACAGCGACAGCGACAGCGACAGCGACAGCGACAGCGACAGCGACAGCGACAGCGACAGCGACAGCGACAGCGACAGCGACAGCGACAGCGACAGCGACAGCGACAGCGACAGCGACAGCGACAGCGACAGCGACAGCGACAGCGACAGCGACAGCGACAGCGACAGCGACAACGACAACGACAACGACAACGACAACGACAACGACAACGACAACGACAACGACAACGACAACGACAACGACAACGACAACGACAACGACAACGACAACGACAACGACAACGACAACGACAACGACAACGACAACGACAACGACAACGACAACGACAACGACAACGACAACGACAACGACAACGACAACGACAACGACAACGACAACCTCACACAACATGTCAGATTCCCTACTTACATCCACCGACAAACACCTCTCTCATGTCTAGACCTTGTTATCTCCTCACTCCACACCAATGATATTCATATCCAATCACTTCCACCGTTTGGCGCATCTGATCACACTACTATCAGTGGCCACATCAATAATCAACTGCCCCCCATAATTAACAACTCCCCTCCACGATCCAGAAGCACCACATTCTGGTCATGGACAGACAGCACTATCCACCTTCTTCGAGAAGCCCTTTCACGCACAAATCTCAACCACCATCCAAACCAACACGACCCATGCCCAGTTGACACCTTCTGGCGATCCTGGCGCGACGATGTCATGAGCATCGCCCAAGAACACTGCCAAGTTACTCGCACTCACCCCCCTTGGGACAGGAAGAACGTGCCAGCACGACCATGGATATCAAAGGGCCTCTTGAAAGAGATCAAGGATAAGCACAGAAAACACAGAATATACCTTCACTCACGCTCGCCTGACGACTGGAACACGTTCACTGCCCAAAGAAACCGTGTCACCACCCTCCTGCGTCGTGCTAAATCGGATTTCGTAAACAACTCAACAGCCTCGTCTACTTCCCTACACCGCCTCATGAAGCACCTAACTACAGCTACAAAACAACGCATACCCGAACTCGTCAGCCAAGCAACTCCTGCAACGACACCAGCACAAAAAGCCGCTGCCCTCAACGAATTCTTCATTTCACAGAGCAAGCTGTCCGTGGCCAATGCGGATGAGCAAACTCCAGCCATCAACACCACCCCTGACATCCTCAGTCCCCTTCAAGAAATCTCGACTTCCCAAGCTGAGGTCGAAAAACTCCTCCGAGGAGTTGATACCAACAAAAGCCCCGGGTTTGACTCTATTCCAAACCGCCTC